AACAATAATAATAATAATAATAATAATAATAATAATAATAATAATAATACTAACAACAACAGCGACAATAATAAATATGGATGCTAAGACCGGATAAAATCAACTTACTTAAAGAATAATTATTTATATGATTAGCTCGATATCGAAGTAATATAAATAATTCTAATGAACATTCTAACAAATTAAAACCTCATTGAAATTGATTCAATCATTTCCTACAATATTGAGTAACATATATATATATATATATAATGGAACATATAATAGAGAATATAAATAAATGGATAACTTGAATTAATCATGGACACTGAAATAATGGAAAATCATGGGAATAAATTAATTTCAACGTATTTTAAAAACCATTGATAAGAGCTCGATGCAATTATAATGATTTTAAATTACGCAGTAAAAGTACATTGTAAAATTAATGCTGTCCTCGATGACAAGTGTAGTGTATGCCCGAATAACGCATTTTATTTTGTTTTATTGGAGCCAATTATTTTTAATGATCGGATTGAGGTAAAAGTAAAATTACCGCACTTCTCGTCATTTATTTTAACTGTTAATAAATGCTTCTGGGATTCTTTGTACTCGATATCGGCATCGCTCTTTATCTCCTCCGAATAATGAAACTTCTTGGCAAATGTTTCACATTAAAGGCATTTATTAAACAAGAAAGAGAAGAAGAAGAAGAAGAAGAAGAAGAAGAAATTAAAATAAAACAAAACAAAAAAAAAAAACAAAAAAACAAAAAAAAGAACTACACGGAATATCGGCAAGTGAATAACTAAGCTCACGCGAACGAGCTTAATTTGGTTCTTAAAACCAAATTCTCTAGTCAGTCGTACATAAATTGCAACATATCCGTCAGCATTAATTTCACAAAGTTTAGAGCGACGCTCGGGTCATTTACACCGTCTATGGAAAAAAGAAAGGATAAAAAAAAAACAACAACAACAGCATAAAAAAAAGAAGCTCTCTACGTTACCTTCCAAGCTTTTACTCGGAAAAATGTATGGTAAAATTGAGAGAAATATTATTGGATAGCTTTCAAGTCCATGGAAAATTAAAAGAATGTTATCTGCTGCGCGATAAGAGCCGTAACTCCCCATTTCAGCAGGCAACGGCCGCGATCAAGATATATAGATAGATTGATTTACAAATGGTAGGAGATGGATAAAGTCGGAGCCGGGCGGGGCCGTGGGATAGAACCGAGAAACGGGTAGGTGGGTAGAGGAGAATAATATCGGGTAAGGGGGCGTAGGTGAGAGGAGAGGAGCGAAGACGCTCATACGCGTCATTAAATAAACAAGGGGCGTCGATACTCACTTATGCGACCGTCGGTGATGATCTGCTCGCAGTCGCTGCTGTTGGTCGTCATGGGACACTGCCAAAGCGCCCCGGACCTATTGGTGCCCGGTTGCCTGTTCTGGTCGAGAGGCGCGCCGATCAGCATCCTACATATAAAGAGTGTAATGAGAGGAAGAGGCGCGATAAGAGAGTGGCACGGCGTCCCTGTGCTCGGGCTCCTCCGTCGAAGATAAGGCGGGAGAAAGAGAGAGCGTACTGTGATCAGGAGGATGGAAGGTGATGGCAATCGTGGGTGGATCGGCGGAGGCGAGAGTCCGGGGATGGGTAGGGGGACGACGAGGTAGAGATTGGGATACGGTCGTACTGGGGGGGGGGGAATTGGAGGGGGGGTTTAGTTTAGTACTCGGAGGAGGAGAACACGGGAAGGTCGTGTTTTCGGGAGCTCGTCGAGTATGCACTGCGGCTTCTTGCGTCGAGGCTCGGTTAACGTTGCAATTAAATGCGTTATCGCGTCGGCTTTTGCCGCTAACTGCGAGATTCGTCAGTGCTTCCGATCCATTATTTTATTGCACGTGTTACGCAATACGAGAGTCGAGGCGGTGTCGATACGTTTATCGGATCAATGCTTTATCGACGTTTATTTCGATGGCGCGCTTTAAAAAGAAAAAGCTAAATATAAATTGATAAATTGCTCGGTCGTAGGAATCGTATTCCCTTTAATTCAATCGCTCCTTTAGTTTATTCGGATGCGAAACTCATCGCTTCGGAATACCAATTTGCATATTAAATCAATAAAAATCGGACTTTTTAGCTCTCGGCTCGATAGACTCGCCGTTAATATTAAATTCAATTCAAAGCGATCCTCGTTTCTAGGCTTTTTACGTACAAACTCGTACAGGTCTGTAATTATTATTACGCCTATGTTTCGTGAACGCTCGGGTTAATCATATTTTTAATTTTCGAAAGTATTTCGTCATTTCACCTATCATTTAGAAAACATGTCAACAAACATACACGTAACGCCTCATGACTGCGACTATATGACAATTGCTGCGATATGGCAATTTATGCGACGCGTAAATCTAATAGTTTATTAAATTATATATTAATGGTGTAGAGTAATTTTATATGGAAAAAAAAAAAAAAAAAAAAAAAATTGCAGTTTGTCACGGCTACGAGATAACATCGCTTTAAGCCATTTATAGGCGAACAATTTTCAATATGCCAAGAAATATCCTGAAATACAAGGCTCTACTTGCTTTGTATCATAAAGTCCTGAGTAAAATCCGAAAATATACTTAAGCCTATGCACTTGAGTTCATTGTATGACTAATTACATTCCTTATAATGTTGGATTTGTTTGAGCAACTGTCGTCACACAGCGAGCGAAAGAATTCATACAAGAATTTCGCGGAAAGTACACTGCCCATAGTGCAGGGCCCTCGGCAACGAGCGAGCGAGCGAGCGAGCGAGCACGAAACCTACAATAATAGCGAAAATATTGTCGTTCATAAACGAGGAATTATTTGGGATAGAAATGATTAATAGTCGTTCGTTGCGCAGAACGGACGAGAGAGAGAGAGAGAGAGAGAGAGAGAGAGAAAAAGAGAGAGAAAAAAAATGAAAGAAATGCAAAAAAAAAA